TTGTTATTAGTATCATCATTATCACCATTATCATTATTTTTATCATTATCATTATTACCACTGTTGTCGTTGTTGTTGTTATCATTAACATTATTATTATCATTATTATTATTGTTATTGATATTATTGTTGTTGTTATTGTTGTTGATATTATTAGCATTAATGTTGTTCTTATTCTTGTTACCATCATAAATATTGTTGTTTTTTCTCATCAACATTATTATAATCATCCTTATCATTGTTATTGTTATTACCATTTTTTTCCTATTATTATCATCATTATTATTGAACCGTATTCATGTTGATAAATGTAGGAAAGGTATGAATGAGACTGGATATCTTTACAATACAAGAAATGTATTTGATCGGATTATGATCATTATTATTATTATTATTGAATCGTGTTCATGTTGATAAATGTAGGAAAGGTATGAATGAGACTGGATATCTTTACAATACAAGAAATGTATTTGAGGTGTATTTGGTTTCGAATCTGCGTCAGGAATTCATCTCTTGCATCGTGAAGATATCCATTCTCATTCATACCTTTTCATCATTATTATTGTTATCATCATTATTATTATCATAATTTTATCATTATCATTATTATTATTATTATTTTCATTATTATTGCTATTATTATCATTGTTATAATTATATTACCATTATTATCATTATCATTATTATACATTATTATTATTATTACCATTACTATTATTATTATCATTATTATTATTATCATTGTCTATTATCATTACCATTATCCATTATTATTACTATTATTATTATTATTATATTTATTATATTATTATTATTATTATTATTATTATTATTATATTATTATTATTATTATATTATTATTATTATTATTATTATTATTATTATTATTATTATTATTATTATTATCACCATCATCATAATATAATTATAATCATAATTATCATTCTTATCATTATAATTTTCTTTATTATATCATTATAATTATAATTGTCATCATTATTTTTTGCGATTCTTACTATCATTTACATTACATTTTCATTTCATTTATATTTATCATCTTTATTATTTTCATTTGCATCATTATTTTCATTATTATTGTTAGTATCATCATTATCATTATTATCATTATCATTATTTATTCATCATTATTATCGTTGCTGCTGTTATTGCTGCTCTTGCCATTATCATTTTTCTTACATTTATTATAGTTTTATTATTATCAATATCATTATTATTATCATTATCATTGCTATCATAATTATATTTGTGATAACAATGTTCAGTTCATCTTATAATCAAACAATAGCAAAATGGGAAAATGAAAAATAGCTGAATTTTAACATTATCACGTCTATCTGTCATTACTATATTATTATTATTATTATTATTATTATTATTATTATAATCATGTAAGAGCAGGGTGTAAAATAGGATGAATGATATATATGAATAAAACAGCAAAAAAAACAAGAATAGTGATAATAAGTATAACAGTAATGATCATAATAACATTAATGATAATAATATTCACAAAAATATCCTTAGGAGGATTCGAACCTGCGATCACAGATTCGAATTGCGCGCCTTAACCCAATTAGCCATGCTGACGAATTGGCGCTGGCGAATCATAGTGATAATGATAATGGCAGTAATAATAATAATAATGATCAAAATAATAATGACATCAATGACGATAATACTATTATTAACGTTATTACAAACATTATTATGATAATTATCATTATTATCATTTATATAATCATGATTCATATATTTTGCATTATCATCATTATCAGTATCATTATTATCATTATCATCATTATTACTATCATCATCATATTTACTATCACTGTTATCACTATTTTTGTTTTTGTTGTTGTTATTATCATTATAATTATTTTTGTTATTATTATTATTCCTGCTATTAATATTATTATCTTAATTGTTATTGTTATTATACTTATTATCATCATCACTATTATTATTATTATTATTATTATTATTATTATTATTATTATTATTACCACTATTATTATTACTATTATCATTATTATCATCATTTCTATTATTGTTATTATTATTATCATTATCACTGCTATTGTTATTGTTATTATTATTATTATTATCATTATTATTATTTTATTATTTATATTATTATTATTATTATTATTATTATTATTATTATTATTATTATTATTATTATTATTATTATTATCATTATTATTATTTCATCCTTACTATTAGCATTAGCATTAGCATTGTTATTATTTTTCACCATTATTATTCACCATTATTATCATTATACTTATCATTACCATTACTGTTAATATTTTGTCTTCAAGTGTTATCATTGTTATTATTATTATTTTTATCATTATCATCCTTACTATTATCATTATCATTATCATTGTTATTACTTTTATGATCGTTATCACCATTATTATCATTATCATTAGTATTATTATCATTATTGTTATTATCATTTTTATCATTATTAATATTACTGTCATTACTGTCATTATTTTCATCATTATTATTTGTATTACTGCTACTACTACTACTTTTATCCTTATCATCATTATCATTATTATTATTATTATTATTATCACCATTCTTACTCTTATAATTATCATTGTTATTCTTTTATGATCATTATCACCATTATCATCATCATTAGTATTATTATCATTATTGCCATTACCATTATTGTCATTATCATTATTATCATCATAACCATTACTGTCACTATTATTATTATCATTGCCATCGGTACTATTATCATCATAACTATCATTATTGTTGTTATCAATATCATTATTACTGTCATTATCATTATTATTATCATTATCTATATTATCGTTAATATCATTATTACCAACATTATCATCATTATCATTGTTATTATTATTATTATTATTACGATTATTATCATCATTATTATTATATCATTTTATTATTATTATTATTATTATTATTATTATCATTATCATTATCATTATTATTATTATTATCATTATTATTATTATTATTATTATTATTATTATTATTATTATTATTATTATTATTATTATTATTATTATTATTATTATTATTATTATTATTATTATTATTATTATTATTATTATTATTATTATTATCATTACCATTAAACTATATTGTTATCATTATCATTATCATTTTTATTATTATCATTATTATTATTGTTATTAATATTATTGTTGTTGTTGATATTATCATCATTGATGTTGCTGTTATTCCTGTCATAATTATTATCAATATTGTTGTTTTATCATAATTGTTATCATTATTATTATCATGATCCTTATTATTAACATTGTTATTGTTATTACCATTTTATTACTATTTCATCGTCATTATTATTGTTAATATCATTAATATCATAATCATTTCATCATTATCATTATTATTATATTCATTATTATTGCTATTATTATTATTATTGTTTTTATTATTATTACTATTATTATTTTTATCATCATTATTATCATTATTATCATCATTATTAATATTATCATCATCATCATCATTATCACTGTTAATATCATTATAATCATTTTATAATTTTAATCCCAATTGTCATCATTATTCTTTTTAGAATTATTACTTATATTCATATTATCATTATTATCATTACAATTTCATTTTCATTGTATTTATGCTTATTATCTTTATTATTGTCATTAGCATCATTTTCATTATATTTTTATCAAGCATTATTTTTTATTAATAATATCTTTATTATCATTATTACCATTATTATTATCTATTTATCATTTTTATCATTGCTGGTATCATTGTTGCTGTTGTCAACAAACATTCATGTAACATCTATTATAGTATCATTATTATCGATATCTATTATTTTCATTATCATTATTGTTATTATTATTTTGGTTGTTGTTTTAATCATTATTATTATTACCATTTTTCTCCAGTTTTTATCATTGTCACTACAAAGACTCCTTTTTATTAAACCGCGATTTCTTTTCTTTAATTCCGAGACGCAACAGAACTCGAACAACACACAGGGATTAACGGGTTTTGACACGAACCCTTCAAGCGAAATCGTCCCTTACGGCGGGTATCCATAGAGTCGTGAGTCCCCTGCGCTTGGGTACGGGACGCCGCGAGATCTCCTGATTCTTCGTCCTGTGACCTCCGCCGTGACCCGTGATTATGCCGTACGGGACTCCCTTAATGAGTGACCCCGTGCACCCGCAGAGCAACATGGCAAGGCGACTCCGACCCGACTCGAACCGACCGGACACGAACTGACCCGACCCGACCCGACGCGACCCGAATGGCGAGAACTTTGTTTTTCATTTAGTTTCTTCATATATGTGTAATGTTTCCGTAGATTATAGTGCTTTTGTTGCAATAGTAATAATTATATACATAAGAGTAATGATAACAATGAAAATAACGATATTTATGGCAATAGCAACAATGATAACAATAATTATCAAACTACAAATAAAGATAATATAATAATTATAGTAATAATAATAATAATAATAATAATAATAATAATAATAAATAGTAATGATAATCTTTATTATAATTATGATGACAATAATAATGATGAAAATGGTAATGATGATATTAATAAAGATAACAATGATAATAATGATAATAGCAATAATAATGATGATAAAGGTAATAACTCTTTTTCTCTCTACGTCCCCTTCGTTTCCCTCCTGTTTCCCCTTCAATGTGCCCCTCTTCTCTTTACGCCTTCTTCCCCCCCCTTTACTTTCCTTTTTCTTCTCCTATTTCCTCTCCACTCTCTTCTCTTTCCTTTCCCCTTTCTTCTCCTTCTTCCTCCTCGGATAGTCGAGTAAATAATACACAAGGGCAACATTAATATCCACAGACGACATACGACACATGGCAAATACATACACACACATATATAAGAACACCTACACACATCCACGTCGAGGTCAATCAACAGTTTAAAAAGCCAATTAGCCCTCTTTCTAATTGGTCGCCGTGGCCGAGTGGATATAGCACTCGGCTCGCATCTCGAAGGTCGCGGGTTCGAACCACGACGACCCGTGTGTAACATGGCCGCCTGACACAAGGTCTAATTTGCCAACGGTCTAGGCGGGCATGTTACACACGTTTTATTGTTAGATTTTAATTTACACATATATTTTTACTTCCACACGCTTTATCGTTACTCAACTGTTATTATTATCATTATCATTATTATTTCATTACTATTATTATTATCATTATTATTATTGTTATTATCTATTATTATATTAATATCAATCATTATCATTATTGTTATTATTATTATTATTATTATTATTATTATTATTATTATTATTTTATTATTATTATTATTATTATATTTTATTATTTATTATTTTATTATTATTATTATTATTGTTATTATTATTAATTATTATTAATATTAGCATTATCATTATTGTCATTACCATTATTGTCATTATCATTATTATCATCGTAACCATTACTGTCACTACTATTATTATCGTTTCGCTCCGTCGTATTATTTATCTTATATCCCATTATTATTTCATTATTTTATCATTATCATCTTATTTCATCATATTATTATCTTTATCATTATCTTTATCATCATCATTATTATCATTATCTTTATCAATATCATTATCATTATCTTTATCATCGTTAATATCATTTTTATCAACATTATCATTATTATTGTTGTTATTAATATCATTGTTGTTGTTGATATTATTATCACTGATGGTTTTGTTATTCCTGTTATTGTTATTATCAATATTGTTATCTTTATCACCATTGTTATCATTATGATTATCATGATCCTTATCATTAGCATTGTCATTATTATTACCATTAATATCATTGTAATTATTATTATTATTACTATTATTATCATTATTATTATTATCAACAGCAACAATGGGATCTGGCACGAGCCTTCAAGCGAAATCATCCCTTACGGCGCGTGTCCACAGAGCCGTGAGTCCCCTGCGCTTGGGTACGGGACGCCTCGATATCCATTAATGCCACTATTATTATCATTGCCATCGTTAGTATTATCATTATCATTATCATTATTATTGTTATTATCAATATCATAATTACTCTTATTATCATTATTGTTATCATAATCATTATTATTATTATTATCATTATGATTGTTATCATTACCTTTATTATTGATATTATCATTATTACCAACATTATTGTCATTATTATTATTATTACTATTATTATCATTATCATCATCATTATTATTATCATTATTATTATTATTATTATTATTATTATTATTATTATTATTATTATTATTATTATTATTATTATTATTATTATTATTATTATTATTATTATTACTATTATTATTATTATTATTATTATTATTATTATCATTTTATTATAATTATCACCATCATTAACATCATTATCATCATTGTTATTATTATCAATGTTAGTACCATTATTATGATTATTATTGTTGTTGTTTTTGTTGTTGTAGTTTGTTATCATCATTATTCTTGTCATTATCATTATTATTATTATCATCATTATCATTATTGTTACCACTATCATTGTTGTTGTTGTAGTTGTAGTTGTTGTTGTTGCTGCTGCTGCTGCTGTTGTTGTTGCTGTTATTATTATCATCCTTATTATTATTTGTATTGTTATTATTATTGCTGCTTTAGTTGTTGACATTAATATCATTGATGTTGCAGTTATTTTTTATTATAATTATCAATATTGTTAATTTATCATCATTGTTATCATCTTTATTATCATGACCCATATCGTTATCACTGTTATTGTTATTTTCATTTTATATCTATTATCATTATTGTTATTATCATCACTATTATCATCATTTTTTCATTATTGACATAATAATTATTACTCTTATTATCATCACTATTATCATTCTTATCATTACTATCATTACTATTATCATTATCGTTAGTATTATTGTTATCATTATTATTATCATCATTATCATTGTCCTTATTATTATTATTATCATTATTTATTTTTTTTTATTATCATAATTATAATATATAATTATAATAATAATAATATTATTATTATTATTATTATTATTATTATTATTATTATTATTAATTATAATTATAATTATTGTTATAATTATTATTATTATCATCATCATCATCATCATCATCATCATCATCATCATCATCATCATCATCATCATCATCATCATCATCATCATCATCATCATCATCATCATCATCATTATCATTGACATCCTAATCATCATTTTTTCATCATTATTATTATTATAACGATCATTGTTATTATCATCAACATTATTATTTTATCATCATGATTATAATTGTCATCATTATTCTTTTTACGTCTATTACTATTATTTACATTATTGTCATCATTACAATTTCATGTTCATTTTATTTGTGATTATTATCCTTTTTATTATCATTAGCATCATTGTCTTCCTTATTTTTGTTGTTATTATCATCTTTATCCTTATCGGCATTACCATTATTATTATTTATTTATCATTTTCATCATTGCTGGTATTATTGTTGCTGTTGCCATCATTTTTTTCAGTTAGATTTATTATAGTTATTATTATCATCGATATCATTATCATTAATAGTATTATTTTTGTTGTTTTATCATTATTATTGTTACTATTCTTCTCCGTCTCTTATCATTACCATTCATTTAGTTCAGACAGCTGACTCCGAGGATTCCCCAAAGATGCTCCTCCTTTTTATTCAACATCATTATCATTATCATCATCATCCTTATCATTATTATAAACATTCTTATTAACAATATCATTATTATTATCATCTTCATCATTATTATTATCATTACTATTATCATTATTACGAGACGCAACAGGACTCAAACTACACAGTGATTCATGGGATTTGGCACGAACCCTCAAGCAATATCGTCCCTTACGACGCGTGTCCATAAAGTCGTGAGTCCCCTGCGCTTGGATACAGGACGCCTCGATATCCATTATTGTCACTATTATTATCATTGCCATTGTTAGTATTATCATTATCATTATTATTGTTATTATCAATATCATACTTAAAGTATTTATCATTATTGTTATCATAATCATTATTATTATTTTTATCATTATTATTGTTATCATTACCTTTATTATTGAATTCATCATTATTAACATTATTGTCATTATTATTATTATTACTATTATTATAATCATTATCATCATCATTTTTATCATTACTATTATCATTATTATTATCATATTGTAAAATAGGATAAATCGTATATATGAATAAAACAGCAGAAAAACCACAATAATAATAAAGATAATAATGATCATAATAACATTATTAATAATGATAATGATAATCATTATCTGTCCTTAGGAGGATTCGAACCAGCGATTGCTGATTCGAATTGGGCGCCTTAACCCAATCAGCCACGGTAGGGAATTAGCACCTGTGAATCATAGGGATAATGATGCTGGTAATAATAACATTAATGGTAAAGATAATGACATCATTGAGGATAATACTATTATCAACATTAATACTAACATTTTTTGATGATTATCATTATCATTATTATTATTTCTATAATCATGATTCATATAACTTGCATTATCATCACAATCAATATTATTATTATCATTATCATCATTATCACTATTATCATTTTTACTATGATTGTTACTACTATTGTTGTTTTTGTTGTTATTAATATCATAATTAGTTTTGTAACTATTATTATTACTGCTACTATTGTTATTATCTTTACTGTTATTGTTATTATCCTTATTATTACCATTAGTTAATATTCTTATGTAACTTTTCGTGTGAATATTGCCTTGGCGGGGGTATGCGCTCTCTGTGTTTCTAGTTATTCTATTATTATTGTCATTATTGCTATCATTGTTATATCATCATTACTATTATTGTTATTACTATCATTATTATCATTATTATTATTATTATCATTATCATTATTTATATTACTGTTACTATTATCATTATTATTATTGTTATTATTATTATTATTATTATTATTATTATTATTATTATTATTATTATTATTATTATTATTATTATTATTATTATTATTGTCCTTACTATTATCATTATCATTGTCACTATTATGATCTTTATCACCATTATTATCATTATCATTATTATTATCATTATTGTCATTACTATTATTATTCATTATCATTATTATCATTATTATTATTACTATCATTATTATTACTATCATTATTATCATCATCATTCTTATTTGTTTTACTGCTAATACTACTACTTTTATCGTTATCATTATTATCATCATCATTATTATTATTATTATCATTATTATTATTATTATCATCATCATCATCATCTTTACTGGTATAATTATCAATATCATTGTTATTATTTTATGATCATTATCACCATTATTATCATTATCATTAGTATTATTATCATCATTGTCATTACCATTATTGTCATTATCATTATTATCGTCATAACTATTACTGCCACTACTATTATTATCGTTGCCATCGTTACTTTTATCATGATCCTAATTATTGTCATTGTTTTTATCAATATTATCATTACTGTCATTATCATTTCTATTATCATTATCATTATTACTATTACGATTGTTATCATTATCTTTATCATCGTTAATATTATTATTACCAACATTATCATCATTATTATTATTGTTATTATTATCATTATTATTATTATTATTATTATTATTATTATTAATACTATTAATATTATCATTATTATCATTATTATTACTATCAGTATTATTATCATTATCATTATTGATATTGTTGTTATCATTTTTATAATAATCATCAGCATCATTATCACCATTATTATTATTATTATCATCATCATTGTTATTACCATTATCATGATGATTATTATTGTCGTTGTTGTTGTCGTTATCATTATTATCATTTTTATTATCATTATTATCATCATTATCATTATCATTGCTGTTGTTGTTGATATTATTATCATTGATGTTGCTGTTATTAATGTTATTTTTATTATCAATATTGTTATTTTTATCATCATTGTTATCATTATCATTATTATGATCCTTA